TGAAATTTTTTCACCTAACACGTTGTCTTATCATGTTGTTAAATTAGAAAATTCCATATCAAGTATATAACAAAAAATATATGAGTTAAATATAATGACTACTCCACCTATTGTTAATTGAATTTAAATTGGATGCAAATTTTGTATTAAAAATCATATGACTAATTTTCACATGTTACCTCTTGATCTGCACTTTTAAAACAAAGTTTAACTATTTTTCATCAAAGAAAAATCTCTCGTAATATAGCTATATTCTACTGCCTTAGAATCATATCAACCATATGCTAAGGCGTCTAGAGCTTATGTTCCTTTGAGGAGGACAAACACCATGAGGTCCTTGATCTCCAAGGTCTTTCAAAGAAGAATACAAATACATTTCTTCAATTTGAGCTTATGAAGAAGGGCAAAAGCCTAGTTTTAGTACTTTAACTTACTAGATTTGTAGGTTTTAACCCCTCATTTTATAGTATAACACTTCTAGCCTCTCACCTATTAAAAATAAAGAAAATAGCCCTCACTTATAACATTTTGTTAGTTTTGTTAGCTGATTGTTAATTTTATTAGGTGATTATTAATTGATTGTTAGCTGGCAAAAATCTACTTTCAACTAATAAAATTAATAGTTAACTAACAAAATAGTTCTGTTAGTTGACTGTTAATTCTATTAGGTAACTATTAATTTTATTAGCTAATAAAAACTTACTTTCAGTTAATAAAATTAAACGTCAACTAACAGATTTAACAATCAGTTAATAGAACTAACAAAATATTATAAAATGCGGATTGTTTTTTTCAATTCTAATAAGTGAGGGACTAAAAGTGTCATAATATAATGAGAAGGGTTAAAACTTACAAATCTAATAAGATAAAGGGTTAAAAGTAAGTTTTTACCATGAAAAAGAAGGTAAAGACATGTGGGCAATATCCCTAGATGAAGTCCTCAAATATTTATTCCTTTTTACTTAAATCCTTAGAGTTTTCTTGATATTCATATTCCTATGATGGATTCTCTTTTGGGGGAAATATAAAGATTTCCAATGTCAACCAAACAACAGAAAATTTTTTGTAAAATTTTTTTTAGAGTCATCCAAACAAAAGAGAACAACTAATGGAAAAGAAAATATTTTCCTTTGAAATTTTTTTTCAAAGTATGTTATTTTTTGTGAACCACACGAACAATTTGTTGATTTTTTTTTTTTTTTT